TCGACTCTGAGGATCCCCGACGACGACGACGCGGACGCTAATTCGCGCGTGCGGGCACGTCGCGTGCGAGCGGTGCGCGTGGGAGGGGTTACTGAGGCGGCACGCCGGCGCGGGCGTCGCGCGCGAGATGGAGACGGAGTGGACGTGCGACGCGTGCGGCGCGGTCGAGGACGACGAAGGCGAAGGCGAGGGCGAGGCGTCGTCGTCGTCGTCGTCGTCGTCGTCGTCGTCGTCGTCGTTGCCGTCGTCGTCGTCGTCGTCGTCGTCGTCGTCGTCGGATGACAAAAATCGAGAACCGAACGCGTCGCCGCCTTCGCCTTCGCCGGCGGAGGTCGCGGCGGCGTCGAAAGCGAAGTGGCTGCTCCTCTCCCCGACGGTCGTCAAACAGAAGAAGAAGGGCACCGCGCCGAAGTTCAAGGCGCTGGGCCCGCGCGCGACCGCGTCGATCGCGCTCGGGAGCTCGCGCCCGAAGCGTTCGGACGCGATGTTAGCGGCGGCCAACGATGGCGACGCGCTTCGTCTTCGCGCTTTGATCGACGCGGGCGTGGACGTGGACGCGTCGGACGAGTACGGCGCGACCGCGCTGTTTTTGGCGTCGTGGCGCGGGCGAGAGGACGTCGTGAAGCTGTTGCTCGCGTCCGGCGCGGACGCGACGAGGACGGTGAAGGGCGGGCGCGTCGCAGCGCTCGACGCGGCGCGGAACGAAGGCGTCGCGGCGGCGTTGACGTCGGCGATGAAAACGGCGTCGGCGACGGTAACGGATCGCGCGCGACGGTTAGAGGACGCGCAGCTCGCGATCCTCGCGCGCGTAGAAACGCTCGAGGCGCGCGCTGGGGTGCGGCGGCCGACCGAGATCCGCGTCCGCACGCTGATCGACCCGATCGCGATGCCGACGCACCCGGGGGCGTGGTATTCGCTCTGCGTGGACGGCGGCGTGAGCGACGCGACGCTGCGGCGCCTGGAGGCGACGTACGCTGACGCCTCGTCGTCGGAGAAGCCCTTGGTGTCGGAAATGTCGGACGCCGACGACGTCGACATCGTCTCGGAGTTCACGGAACCGCCGCCGGCATCGGCATCGGATTCTTCTCCCGGAACGCACAGCAGGACGAGCCTGGACCCGAACCTCTCCGCGCGATTACGCGCGGACACGTGCGCGACGCGGTGGTACTTTCTCGACGCCACCGGGTGGGCGCGCGACGCGATCCTCGCCGCGGCGATCGCCGCGGGCGCGCCAGCGCTCGGCGTTCACCCGCAGATGCGGCTTTTGCGGTATCCGAAGATCGGCGGCGTCATGGCGCCGCACGTGGACTTGCCGAAGGCGGTGGACCCGGAGGACTCCCGCGGCGTGAGCGGTTTCGGTTTTTTTTCAAACGCCACGAAAGCCGAAGCTGCCGCGGACGTCACGCGCACGACGCACACGTTCTTGCTGTACCTCCGGACGTGCGAGCGCGGCGGCGAGACCGCGCTTCTGCGCGAGGTCAAGTCCGAGTGCGGCGCGGTCGGCGCGAGAGAGGCGGCGGCGCTCGCGGACGTCCGGCCGGTGAGGGGACGGCTGTTGATTTTCCCGCACGAGTGTCCGCACGCGGGTCGGCCGGTGACGGACCGTAACAAGCTCGTCGTCCGCGGGGAGCTGTGGTTAGGGCGCGAGAGCGGCGGCGGCGACGACGTAGACGACGAGGCGGACGAACGCTGATCCATCTAATTAATTAATTAGCCGTAGAATAGAATACAGTACGCACGTTTTCTGCGCGACTACGATAATAGCGCGGCTTGCCGCGACAACGGCAACGAAAACGCGTCGTCGTCGTTCGCGTTCGCGTCGGCGTCCCTCCCGCCCCCGTCCCCTCCTTTCTTCTTCGTCACGCGCACGAGCTCGACGTCCCACACCGTCGTGCTCAGCGTGTCCCCCTCCCCGTTCGCGATCCGCGTCGGGTTAAACACCGTCGTCCACAGCCTCTGCCGGTTGCTAAAGTCCCTCGGGATCGGCTCTTGCGTCTGATGAGGAAGCGAAGCGAAGCGACGTCGCGGCGGCGTTCGGGGGCGCGTCAGTCGCGAATGTCGGGGTGGAGTTGAAAGGCGTCAGGTGGAGTTGAAATGCGTCGAGGGCGGGGATTGAAAGCGAGGGACCCTGGGCGGAGAGACACGCCGGGCAAAGTCCTTAAGGATCGGCGTTCACCACGCGAACGCGGTCGTATGAGGACCAGTGCGACTCGAAGAAACATTCAACGCGCCTTGTCCCGGTACGACGCCGGAGGAGACGCGACGACTCTTCGCACGCCGCCCTCGCGCAGTCCCAGGCACCCGACGTCGAGCCCATCGATGACTTCCCCCGCGCCGAGCGTGAAGACGTGCGGCCGCGGCAGCCCGCGATCGTCCGTCTCCGCGTAGTCGTTCGTGAAGATCCACCCTTGCTTCGCGAAGAGCCGGCCTTTCAGGAGCACTCTGAGGGCCATTCCATACAAAGCGAAGTCGGGGTGGAGTGGAAAGGCGTCAGTTGGCGTTGAAAGGCGTCGAGGTGTGTCGGGATTGAACGCGAGGTGTGGGCGAAGAGATGCGCCGGGCAAAGTCCTTAAGGATCGGCGTTCACCACGCGAACGGGGTCGTATGGTGACCAGTGTATAGAACGCACCTGACCTCGTCGCCGCTCTCCGCGAAGAGGCCGCCCGCTTTTCCCGGCACGAGGTCGAGCGCGACGACTCCCGGGCCCATGTCTCGCGGGACGCCGCGCGGGAGCGGCGGCGGCGGCGGCGACGACGGCGCGGTCTCCGCCGCTCCCGCGGGGAGGACGCCGCCGAGCGTCGAGGACGCCGCCGCTCCCGCGAGGAGGACGGCGAGCGTCGTCGCGCGGCGCGACGGCGCGCGCGGCGCGGGGGAGTCGGCATCCTCTTTCTTCTCCTCGGAGGGAACGAATCGCGCGTCGTCGTCCGCGCGCGGGGCGCTCGCCGCGGAGGAGGGCGTCGCGCGCGCGCGTCGTCGACGCGATGCGACGGCGGCGTGCGCGGCGCGTCGTCGCCGCGATGCGACGCCCGCGTCCGCGGCGCGTCGCGGCGCGACGCGCGCGCGCGACGCGCTCGCCGTCGTCGCCGTCGCCGTCGCCGTCGTCATCCGCGCGTCGAAGTGTGCTAGTGGTTCGTCCTGCTCGTCTGATCCA